TGTTTGTGCTGCATGTGGGACATTGTTTAGACATCCAAGGTCAGGAGATATGAATGTGACTAAAGGGAAGGTACACTACACATAGGGAAGGTCACATAGCTGAGCCAAGTGTGCCTTTTGGCGTAGCTCTTATTGGGAGGAGTAACCACGGCAACAGTTGAGGCATCGCTGCCTGTAAAAAGGGAGTTGCATCACTGCATGGTGGTGAGCCTAAAGAAGGTCAATGGTGGGAAAATATACTCCTTTACATAAAGGAAAGGACCAATTCAACCCTGTTAAAATACTCGTACAAGTTAGAAATCCTGCATTCAAAATCATATCCGACTCAAATGTAAAAGTTCAGAAGTATTATCCCATAATGTACTTAATGTAGTTTCAAAGTATAAAAAGTGCAGGAATATTTCTGCTGTGATTTGCATATGAAGCGTATTTGCAATCGCCAGAAGTAAAAAGCTAAGGTTAGGCCATAAACAAACAACATCACCACCGCATAATCACCGCTAAGCTAAAGGCGGCTAATGTTCGACATGATGATGACGCTTTAGTAGTCTCATTTAGTCACTTGTTAGCAACTGCGTTTCCATGACACATAGATGCTTCAGACTTCAGACAAGTGGGGTATTTTCTGACACATTTTGTCGTAAAACCAAACTTGAAAATCTCTTACGCTGAACTTTCCTTACTTCATGCATTCTCTACCAGAAAAACCGTCAAAAATGAGCTAATGAAAGGGAAGTTGTAAAGGGATAACTAATTTCTGTAAGACTTTAGCGCCTGGCTCTTAAAGAGCCTGTGACACGAGTTTCCCTCATTATCCAAACCCATCAATTTGAGTAAATATTGTCCCCTTGAAAACCGTTACTGAACTGATTTTGGATATTTGTACTTTGATAACCATTAATCTGCCCTTCAATGTTGACCATTTTCCGGATCTTCTCGGAGATTCTTCAAGTCCTGCCAAATGATGTGTGATGTCATTGCGGGCACAGTGCTCCAGCTGCACCGTTCAGGATCCCAGCATCTGCATGTAAAGGCACGATGGCGCACACAGCAGCAAGCTCAGATAGCGATGACAGTTTAATTTTGAACGTGTCTGAGAGCTCATATGAGGCTGAAGGATCAGTTTATGTTGTATCTGTTAGAAGTTGAGGAATTAGGTGCGTCAATATGGGCGATTATACGGTCATGTAGCCAGTGGTTGACTGGGACTAAAAATCATCCCGGGACTCTCGACCGGCCCACTTCGGTACCGCTAGTAAATTGTCAACGGGGGGAGTGGGGGATGTGCTAGTGACTTATCCGACCGGCCCACTTCGGTACCGGCCCATCGGAATTCGTCCCGATGGCCAGTCCGCCACTGCACCAAGCCCAGGCCACGTAAACAGTCAACGGGGGGAGCCTCGCTGCGGGGAAACGGTGTACCTAGTGTCCTGATCGGAGTGGGAATAATAATAATAATAATAATAATAATAATAATAATAATAATGATCCGTGCATTTTATCCATTAATTTCCCCAACATTGTGGTAAAAAAAAACACACGTTTAATCCATGTTGGTGTACTACTACAACCAGTTGTGTAGTGGGGATTTTTTTACTGGGTGGACGGGGTGGTGGGTGGACGGGAGACACTATGGACGCGCTCGTGAACTGTCAACGGGGGGGGGGGCTTGGGGGACCTCTGTGTCGCCTGTCAGCGCAACTTACATGATGCCGTTTAGACAATATAATAATAAAGGGCGGTGCCGGCTGTCAGCGAACCGATCCGGCCTTTCTGCGCGACTATCACTCAAATGCGGGACATAGTCTCAATGTGTGGGACGCGGGACAAATAATAAAAATGCTGTGTGTGCAGTCCCGCACAGTGCGGGACACCTGGTCACCCTACACACACAGTTCTGCCCCTCACACACACGCGCTTCAAATCAAGTTGCATAAATGCTTGAGCTACGTTTTTATTATAATTACTGTGAAATCTGCCTATTATGTTTTCGTCATTATTACAACAAACACACACTTGCAACTGATAACACTGGCAATGATTTTAGATGTATTAGACTATTAAAAAAAGACATCATGCTTCAAATAAGTGGGGGTACGGCGTACCCCCGCGTCCAACGCCCACTACACCACTGAGTCTACAACTACAAAAAGCATCGGTTTGTTTTCTCATCAGGAAATGCAGACCGGCTCAAACAAACGATTTTTAAATCATCATCCTCACGATCATTTAATGTATCATATGTTCGCTGAATTGACATGAAAGCACTAATAAATGTAGTTTCATCCACTTGAGTTTACAACTATAAAAATAATCGATTTGCTTTTATATCACATCCCACGGGAGGAAATTCAGCAGCTCTCACTACCGATTTTTAATCCTAATTTAATCATCATCTTCACCATGATCATTTATGTTTATGTTCCCCGAATTGACATGAAAGCACTGACAAATATGAATATATTGTAGTCAACTTCATTAAAACGTTATTAACGTGCCTAAACTCAGTAATTCACCATTTCTACGCATGACAACACACTTTGTCCGTGTTTGGCTCTCTCGCCGCACAGTGAAGCGTTCCCGCATTGACGACACTTCCGGCTTCCCCCAAAACTTCAAAATGAGTCGAAGGAATTTCTCCGCGATGTTCGAAATTATTGATATTTATCGGAACAGTATCGCACCTTCTTTTTTAAACTGACGGTTCGAGATGAGTAGTAGCCCAATATTTCATTGCACAACAGTTGTTGGGAGGTTGTCACAGGCTCTTTAAGCCCCTCCTGAAAAAACCCAGTCTGCTCTGATTGGCTTGCGAGAAAATATGGTGCACATTTGCTGTAGTTCACAAGCCATTAGGGAAATTAGTCAGATGAGGAGCAGAGAACTCTAATGAGCTCTGGTTTTGTAACCTGCAACAAAGGTAAACAAATGTTGTACGCCTAGTAGGTTTTAGCAATAAGTTTTGTTTTATAAACTCTTATTCTGTAAACAAAACAAAGCACATTGAATGGATACACAACTCTCTGAAATGTAAATCTATTTTGTGACAATCTTTGAAAACATTATCAAAAAAACGTGCATTTAATCAATGATGAATCTTTGCCATAACATTAATCAGGATTATTCTGAAACGCATAGTAAACCAGAACATAAGTGTCTTGTTTTTCAGCAGCACTGCTAGGAGCTTACACAAAGTGACGTTCATGACCACAGTGATCATTTGAGAGGGAATATTGATCAGAAGCCAGCAAATCAGATCATCATGCACTGAAAGAGCAGTTTGGATGTCAACACTGATTACGGCATAAGCTCTCTGTACAGCCTCTGTTTCTGTGTATTAGTGTGTGTGTATGCGTGTGTGTGTGTTTGTGTGTGTGATTGTGTAATAAGGCAGTGTGAAAAAAAAAAGTATAATTCAAAGTGAAAACTGTTGATGTAACCAGAGGCTTGTGTTTAATCTGATATGTAATCCTCTTTTGATGAGATTTGATGCAATTCACATCTCGCCAGTTGAAGGATCATGTCTGGAATATTAGGTTTACTTCCTGATGTACAGTACACAGTATTGGAGGTGGAGTGTATCTAAAGTACTGTACTTAAGTATAGGGCTGCTCGATTATGGCAAAAATCATAATCACGATTATTTTGGTCAATAATTGATATCACGATTATTAAATACGATTATTCATTGACTTTGAAAACATCCATTTATTGAACTTTAAATAACTTTAATAAATTAGACAAAAATAAATGAGATCAAATATGTTGCAGTGCACTGTCACAACCTATTCTTTTTTTTCGATGATGTTGTTTTCGTAATTGTGGCAGGCCAAAATCGTAATTGCGATTAAAATACGATTAATTGCACAGCCCTACTTAAGTACCTCAAATGTGTATTTTTGTATTTACATCGCCACTACAATTATTTGACAGCTTTAGTTACTTGCCACATTACATACTATATATTAAGAGTTTATAAAAATGATTTATTATAAATTAATCAAATAGATGATTGATAGTATGATTAATTGACATAATCATTTTATATTAAAAACGTTTTTTTATTGAGCCTTTGATCAAGATTCTCAAATCTGAAGATGTGATCCTTTTTTAAATTATTTTAGTAATTTCTATTTATTGTTCATACTAAAGCTGTCACTCTGGGCCCTGGGTAATTGCAAAACACATTTGTATTATTTTCTTAATTTTCTATATTCTTTATTTGGAGTCCAATAATATTAATTTTAAATTTTACTCGCTTTTTTTCCTAATTTTTACAAACCAAACCAAGTCTATATATGGAGATAATAATCATTAGATTATTCCATAATAATTTGACTCATAAAACAAACTTTTGGCGAAACTCAAAACTTCATACGCTTGTTATGGACATTTGATAAATAATCCTAAAAGAATAAAATAATGTGATGACTCAACTAGTTGTAGGAGACATTTTTTACTTTTAGTTCTTTATATTTAGATACATTTTCATGATAATACTTCTGTAATTGAACTAACTTTTTCAGTGCATGGCTATTATTTGTATCTGAGCATTTTTACAGTTAGTCCTTATCGTTAGGCCAATGATCTGAATTCTTCTTCTGAGTGTTAGCATCTTAATGACGGTGATGATAATGCTGAAACATTACATGAAACACATGCTGCACTTGTCCAGAGGAGGTTGTTTAGGAAGTGCAGCTCATTACAGCGAGGACATGGTTAGAAGGGACTATTTTTGTCTGTCAGGCTGTAACATGAAGCGCCGACCCCACGTCAGATGTATAAATAACCGATTTTTCACCGACTAAGTGTCTGTTTACATTTATTGGTGTTGCACGCCGGAAGACAAAGTGTCCATGAAGTGCGTCCTCATCATTTTTAATCCTTAAACCAGGTGGGCATCTGGGTCAGCTGCTCTTTGAAGTTTATGACTTGACATATGTTACGTGCCACATCCCGGACTAACTGTGTCCTCCTATGCGTTTGTTGCTCTTCTGCAGCCTGACCTGCGACTGGCAATGGACTACACGAACAACTCCTCCAACAGCTACACCTCCGGAGACACCATGAGCTCCTCCTTAGCCAACATTACCATCAGCGACCAGCACCACCAGGAGAATGGCATCATGAAAGGTCAGACATAAGTCAAATGTATTTATATGTCTCAATATCGCAAGGGTTTACAGTCTGTGCCGAAACAACCCTGTGTTCTTACAGGCTTGCTTTTAAGTGTTGCTCTTCCACTGGTTTTTTATTTACAATTGCACATGGTACGTTTTTACCTTGGATATCACAAAAAATAAAATAATAACAAGGAGCAGGCTTTTAATTGAGATGAAATAATATTTTATAATAAAAAAAATGTTATCTATTCCTGACCGTATACTATTTAAAAAAAAATCATGAAGATGATTAAGAGGGATACTCAAATCGGCAATAAATGTCACTTGTACATAATAGAATACACCTGCACAGTCAACAATGAAATACTTCCTAATTTAAAGTTCGCACCCATTTGATTGGCCAGTGCTGCAGCTCGCCAGATGACGTCATATTGTGTTATTCTGCAGGAGCCTCATCAAATCATTACCCCCATTCAAATGAATTAGCAGCTGAGCTATTTCACACACTGTTGTTATCTGTCTGACCATAATGACTAATCCGGATGACAGCATTCATATTATCTTCTCATCATTAAGTCATGGGTCAGCTCCGATGTTCTGGCATCTAACACACCAGCTTCACTCCGTCAGTGAGCTGTTAGAAATACACAACATGGTTTATTTATTATATCAGTTGCAGTTGAAACACATTTACTAATATTGAACATGTGCGCTTTAGCATATTAGCTTAAAAGAACAAGGTCTACAAAGATTATAATAACTGCTTCAATATATTTTATTTATGTGCATTGACACCAATGAATAATGCACTGTTCTTAACAGATAATAATAATTAGCTGTCTAAGTAAATATGTCATTGTATGAATTAAAGAGAAGTTCTAGATTGTTTTTAAGCACATCTATAAATTAGCATTAATAATCTACTATGCCTACATAAAATTAAGCCATGTAGTTTTTATTAACACCATAAACATATTACGAAAAATCACTTCAAACTGTCTTCATATGTGCTTATAGCTACATTACAGTGCGTTATAAACCAATAATGACATGTTTAGTATCTGCCAATAGTTCCATGTTTCTAATCTTGAGAACAAGCTGACTTGTGGGTAATCTTTGTGGCCCACAAGTTGGATTTTAACTCAACCTTTTGGCGCTTTAATCCCAGAGCATATTCTTAAAAGTTCCCAAAGAGAGGGATTTAGAAAGATTGAAATCTCCGAGCTGTTTCTTAAAGTCTCTGTGATCGGTACTGATTTGGGGCCGAGCCCGAGCCCCACAGTTTCAACTGTGCTTTGTTTAATCCCACTTTTACATAATGGATACAAGACATGCTAGAGTGCCGACTGCAGCTGCACTGTGCCCTGTAATGCAGGCATCTGGGTCAGAACGAGATCCTGTGGCACTGTACGCTACCAATTCAGTCCATAAACAATCAGGCCTTTAATGCTGCACAGAAAAAGGCACATGTTATGAAAGGGTAAATCATGTCAAATGTTTCAGTTGCACAGTTATAGAATAAGTAATAACTGTCCTGGCACATTGTTCAGTAGCTAATAATCAGTTTCAGTTTCCTCATTCTGATCCCTTATATCCACCGTGTGGCCAATTAGTGCGTAGCCTAGCTTTCCCCAGTTTACAGCCCTCATTAGTGCAGACGTTCTCCCTGTTTCCACTTTCCATCTTCTCACATGCAAACAGGAAGCAGCAGCAGCACACACAGTCTGTCAATGGTGAAACACAGAGTGAGTATCGTCAATCTGTTAGAGCGGAAACGTAGTTGGAAAGTGTGTTGCTTGTAGGATAAAGGTAGTTGAGTGGTTATAGTTGGTAGATGATGTGTAGAGCGGTACATTGTAATAATGATGGTTTCAAAATGTTTTTCCTTTAATAAGTAATCAACTTAAAATTGGATGTTGTTAGTTTGAAAAGTTGATTTTCTCCAAAGTTAAAGTGGCTATGATTGATATCTTAAGAATAGATATATAAAAAAGTGGAAGGTGCCATTTGTATTTGAAATAATTATCGATGTTCAGCCAACGATCAGCTTAATCTGCAACTCCCCCTCATGGAGCATTCTCATGACTTTCAATTTATTATTTTTCTGTCCAGCCCACAATTGTATTTGTTCACTCTCCATGCTTTCAGAGCATACATTTTAACATATAGCTTTTTTTCCTATAATTGTGGCCATTCAAATATAGAAATAATCTAGATGTAATACACAAAAAATACAATTGCTACAAATGTTATTTTTCTAACTCTTATGCAGTCTTGAAGTCCAATAGTATGATACATTCATGAAAAATTTATCGTCCAAGCTCATTATAAATTGATTTAAGTTACTTTAAAGACTGTGTGGATACACTAGTTTAAATAAATGTCAGGATTTCTGCCTTTGAACATTGTATAATGGGTTAAAAATTTGAATTTTTTTATTTCTATGTGATTCTGTGAATATGGCTGAGGGAAATTAAGAAAGAAAGTGGGTTTTTTCAGAGTTTCTTGTGCATGTTTATAATGTACTAACAGATTGAATCTGTTTGGTCATTTTTGACTTTGAGACCTGTTTCATTGTGTTTTTATGGTTTGTTCTTGTCTTATTTCCTCATTTACAGGGAGTCAGGATTTAATAGCTAAATAACATTGACTTTTGCAAAGGTTTTAACCATTTTAATTGAATTTCACAGCTCAAAACAAGTGTCTTTCATGCTGAACCTCCAGCCTGACCTTCAGTTAACCTTTATTCCTCAGAGCCTGAAGCAGCTGTCAGTGAAAACGAAGCTCAACCTGTGTCTGAGCTCTGTGACGACAAGGTGCACCCTGGTACGACCGCCTGCGCGCCTCATGTCTGACGCTCGGACTTTATTGACTCAACTTAACCTTCATTAAGCACGTTTCAGTTTGTATGCAGTTTTTCCACTTCATTTCTCTTTTTTTATCAATAACTTTTCCTTTTGTCAGAGATCTAATCCGAGAAATGTTAATCTCAGTTTCTTGGTTTTCTCCCACCTTTACACTTTTCATTTTTTCAGCTCGTCTTGGTTTGAATCTACATATTTCTGCTTGTTTTCTTATTTATTGTGCCTTATATGTATTGCCCATTTCTTCAAATAGTTTTCTGTTAATAGGCTAATTGATTTATCAATGAAGCTTCTCAGCTGTACATGTTCGCACTTTTGTTCATTTAATTTCTAACAAAACATAATGTATAAATTTCTTGGGATTTCTGTGAAAAATATGTAACTTGTAAAGCTGTCAGATAAATAAGTGAAGTACAAATACCCCCAATTTCCCTCTGAATTGTAGTGGAATAAAAGTGGAAAGTAGTACCTCAAGTTTGTACTTAAGGACAGTACTTAAGTAAATGCACTTCACGTTACATTCATACTGCTGCATGTACAGTAGCTATGTTCTCAGTACAAACACAGTGCGACAAACTACACAGGGAACAACATCTCTTCCCTAGTCACACACGAACATGGTGACTAACATGGGAAGTCATGTCTCTCTATGCCTGTGAGAATTAGCCACAGTAGCACTTCAGCCTGGGTGGAGCATGCTTTGATCATAAATAGTGAGAGTGACAGCGAGTCCTAAGATGTAGTGGAAAGCAAGGTCATCGGGTGGAAATACTCCTTGATCTGTTGAACAGCTCCTGGCTGTGAACGTGATAAATACCACAGCATGAGGTCAGGAGGTGTCGTTTCAGAGCTAATTCAGCTTTAATAAACCAGAGGAAAGTCTGTCAAATTAGAGAGGTGTTTAGGGATGAGCTATTCCTATTTTTCTGACTGACTGACATCCATTTATCCTGCAGTGGAGACGTCAGAGAAGGCCGGTGTTGAAGCGGCAGGGTCTGAGCTCTCAGAAACAGAGAGCACTTCATGTGGAGGCGAGGGGCAGCTTGGTACGCCTCCAGTCTTTCAGCTCCTGTCTCTTTCAGCAGCTTGCGCTTTTAGTTGTTTTCCTAGTTTGAAATTTTGGGAAATATATTCTTATTCTTGTATGAGAAGATTGATATCACTATCGGGTCTGTATGATTCAACAAATGAAGCTACAGCCAGCAGCCGGTTAGCTTAACGTCGATTAGCTTAGCCTAGCTTAGCTTGAAGACAGGAAACGGGGGAACTGCTTGCACAAATCTGTCCAAGCACCACTTTGATTTTATTTATTCATTTATTTAACAGGGACAGAGCACATTAATTAACATAATTGTAAATGTGCCAGTTAGCCAAGAGGCTATTTTTCATCTGTAGTGCCTGGACAGATTTTAAAAGTCAACCTAAAACACATTTTACACACACAAGTAAATACAATCAATTTAAAACATGCAACACACATTACTGGAATACTTAAATAAAACAATTTAAAAGACAGAACAATAAAATAAAAGAGCATGTTAAAACACAGACAGTGGGTTTTAAGGAGCAGATGATTGCTCCGACACTAAAGCTCACTGGCTAACATTGTTTGGCAACTTAAGATATTTTTTCAATGAATCAGAAAACACTGAAGTGTCCCATGGCAAAAAGTAAATTCTTTAAATATCTTGTTTTATCTGTGTACTTTAAACAAACTGTACCTAAAGTGTAACCTATCATGCAGGGTTTGTTATTAGAAAGCTTTATTTAGGCTAGATGTGCTTCCAGTCATTGTGCTAAGCTAACCCGCTGCTGTAGCTTCATGTTGAACATGCAGAAGTGAGTGATATCAATTTTCTCATCTAACTCTAAGCAAGTTTGGGAATTTCCCAAAATGTGGAACAATTTCTTCAATTTGTATGACCCGAAGCTGCTCTCGTGGTTGTACTGATTTAAATGTGGCTTACTATCTTTTTCTTTCAGCATCATGAATGGAAAAGAGTGCTGTTTTTGTATTTTTGGTTTATCCTTTGGCTTGGCTTCATGCTTGCTGTAATGGTTGATGATTTGCTCCTTTTTAGAACTACACATGATCATAAACGGACATAAAAGATGGTTACATGCTGGCTATTTCAGAATGGTGGGAATGCGCCAAACCTCAGGCAGATTTAAGCGTCCTGTGATCTGTTAAACAGATGCAACAGAATGATGTTAGAAACAGCTGAAGCACCACATGGAGCAGGCCCTTTGGTGCGGTTCTGCTGCACAACGTCACACTCACATAAACACTGTTTGCATATTCATCTCTTTGTTTTTCAATGATAAATGTAACCTTGATTTGCTCTGGGCTTTCTGCATTAACTGAAGACATGCTGTGTGTGGGCTTTATATTGATTTCTTTGCAGTGAGGGAGTGTATTGATGACTTAAAATGACAGAAAGTCATTACTCATATATGTTTCCATTTGTCTCATCATGTTCAGCAGCAGCAGCAGCAGCAGGAGGAGGAGGAGCAGCTTCAACAGGTAGGCTGTTAAGTATTTGATTGATTGCACTTGGGCTGTATTTAATGAGTGTTGCTGATGGATATGAATACAGTTAGGACTCCAGGACTGTTTTATGTGATACCTGACGGGGTTTAATTGGTATTTACTAATACATTAAACCATAGAGAAGGGTCATTTTAGATGCATTTTATGTGTAGTTATTAAAGTAAAAGCATTATCATTACACTTCCCAAAATGAATTGTACAATTTACACAAACTGCACTATTTGACTTTATATGTCTGATCTATTATTTGTATAAAAACGCAAAAGCAAAGCAACATTTTACATAACATGAATTCAATTAAATATTTAAACTTTAAAAAAAGAAATCTGTCACATAGCAAAAAGCATCTTCAACATGTTTTAGATAATATTGTGATTTAAAATGTAAAGTATAAGTCAAAATGATTTAACATAATAAATGATTTGCAAATGTAATTGTATTTTGAATGCATGCACATTCATTATAAATGAATGTATTAATGTATTACTTATACATTTTATTATTTTATGCTATTTTATTTTTATAATTATTTTTATTTTACACTGTAAACGTCTTTATTTGTTGCAGTGTCACAATCCAGACTGCATACACTTTATATAGCTCTATAATTGTTATATTTAATTATTATTATTATGGAAAGGAATATGTTAGTAGTCTGTTGTTCATTCTGTTCACTTGAATACATCATGTGTTGTCCGTCAGCCTGGTGTGATGCATTAATGTCCATTTCCATCTCATTTTATTTTCATGTGAAAGTTTCTTTTCCACCATTGATCACATCTCACCTTTTTATAGCTCTCTGTTGTTCTGTTTATGGAAATATCCAAATAGACTTTTTTTTACTTTGGTCATTGATGGCATTTGTCCAGTTCTGTCCCATCTTTAATTATATATTTTGTTTCAATGGGGAGATGGAAAACAAGTGATGTGAATGTCATCATTAATCTCCTTTCCAAACAAATTAGCAAAGCCTGCTTCTGGAGACTGCAGTGACTTTGTGTTTGCGGGCGATGGAGCCACTAGGGAGGGCATTGACTCCATGGGAGCTTCCTGCCCCATGGACCCAGGAAATGAGGCGGTGGAGGAGTGTGGGAAGAGGCTAAGTGAGTCTTTATGGGCCTCTGAAGACCTCAGCCACGGGTCGGAGATAAGACGGGACGACATGGCGAGCCCTGCAGCCGTGGACTCTCAAAGGGCGATCAGCCTGGATGCCTCCGAGTGCCTGAGTGAAACCAGCAATCTGCCCGGGATGTCTTTGATTCGGAGCGCTGCTTTGGAAGACCTGACGTCCATTGGGGACAAAGAGTTGTTGGTCAATCAAGGAGAGACAGACAGCTCTGAAAAAGATGAAGCCCTTTTAACGTTCGAAAGCATGCCAGCAGAAACACAACAAGTTCAAAGTCTGTCACACTCTGACTCTCCTTCAGAAGATCTTAATGGCAGCAGGAACATTTCCGACACGGACAGCCTTTTAACCAAAATGCCATCCGATACGGCGACTGAAAACAGCAGCAGTGACTCATGGTTACACAGAGCCGGCTATTCAAAGCCTGGCATTTCTAATGACTCAGACATAATGAGCATGAGTGCGGCTCTGACCACTGGTACCGCTGAGCTCCGCCAAACTCCCCCCCAAAGCTCTCTGGGCAGAAAGTCTATGGTGCCGGTCCCTATCTTCAAAGGTCTGTTTGCTGTCATAATCACCAGAGCCCTCCTCAGTTAACTCCTTCCACTTCTTTCTTTTACTATGCAGCTTCTACCGTATGCCATGCTGCACTCTCCCTAAGACTTTTTCTATTGGAACGTAAACTATTTAACCAGAGGAGAAGCTTGTTGTCCTCCCTCCCCACTTTTTCTTTCATGGCTCCATCTTTGCTCACTCTGCTGGTTATGCGTTCCCCAATAAAATCCACTTTTTTTGTTTCCACATTGTGTCACCATGCATGCTGCATATCACAAATATTTGGTTTAGTTTTCTGTCTTATTTGAATGTCTTTAAGCACACACTTTTCTTAATTTAGTTCACCTGGGTGGAAATAAGGAAGACATCAAAGATAATAAACGTGTTATCTAAAGTCTGCCACTCTCTCTTCTGTCTATAGCTCAAGCAAAGATCGATAACGCCTCTGCAGATAAGGTATGTGACCAAGAATCATCATTTCTTTTATTTAGGGGAATATTCTGGTTTCTTACAAATTGGATCATATTTTGCAGCTCTGTCCATTTCTCTGTTACTGTACCATTTATTCAGAAACATGGCAACACTGGAGAAAGAATCATTCGGTTAGATTGTAAATGGATCTCCAGGTGAGAAAATCTTGCCTGACGACCTTTCCTACACAAGGTCAATGCCTTACCTCAACCATCTTGCGAGAGTTCCACAAATCGAGGGTAACAATCTGTATCATAATAACAAAGGCTCTTAGAGGGTAGGATGGATGCTTCTACAAAAGTCCTACCCTGGTGTTTATTTCAGTCAAAGTTTATTATAACCATGACTACAATCCTTCTCTAATCGAAAACTTGACCAAAACCTATTTGTACCACTGACATGGTATTGGATTTAAAATATAATATATTGCACTTGTTAGCTTTTTGACTAAACATCCATCAGTTACAGAACAATATTATCACACATTTTCAGTCAAGTTGGTTTTCACCTGATAATTGTTTAAGTCCAATATTCTCTCTCTTTTTTCTCTGTTTTTGGTCTCCACCAACAACGTTTGTTCACCATTAAATGTTTGTGTTTGCTATTTCCAGCGGAGTACAGTATATATATTTGTTGTATTTAATTTAGCTGCCTCATTGCAACTATGCTGAAGTTGTTGTCCCCAAAATCAAATACAAAAGTTTGCTGTTAAAGTATTATATATGTTTTTAACTGTGATTTGAATGTGCTGAAAGCATTGGATTAAAGAATAGCATTTATTTTTATCATGTAGTTTGGAGCATTTGTTTCACTGTCCGACTTTAATTTGTTGGTACACTGAGCGTGCTCCCAGATCTATGCCATTTTTACAACTGATAGAAGACGTTAAAAATAAGACCCATGTTGCATAAAACCAGAACAATCCTTTGCCATTTTGTTTGTGAAATACATTCATTCCTTTCTGTCATTTTCCATTTGTTCACTCATTCCTCTTTTATGTTCATTGTCATTAGAACTTTTGATTTTTTTATTCCTTTTTCCTTTCCTCCCTGTCACAAAGACCCCAACTGCTATCAAACCAACCTCTTCCCCTAAAAGACCATCCCCAGTCACCGGGGGCAACAAAACAAACTCTCCCTCCGGAAACGGCCCCAGCTCCATCCCCATTAAAAGCAGCAGCCCGGGGCCCCGGCAGCCCGGAGTAAGTACACCTCTGAATGCTGCTGAGAGTTAGGAGCTGAGCGGGGGTCAGGTGGTCAAAGATGGCTGCTCAATGTCCTTGTCTGGGTTGAGAAGGCACCCTAACATTCATTTGTTTGATAGTGAATCATCCTTTACACCAATTTTGACATTCATTTTTTATGATTATTGTCTCCAAACATGTTTTGATTACTTGCACTTGAATAAAAGCAGCTTTCTTGATGTTAAAGCAGCGTCTCTTCTCTGTTTTTCAGGGTCCCGGTCTTGCAAAGTCTCAAACCCAGGGAGTGAAATCAGCAGCTCAAGCAGGTACAGAACCAACACTTCTCATTTGTATTCTTTTCATTTGTCATTTTATAAGGTGTACAATTTAAGAATTACTTTTGATTTGTCATATTTTTTGTGATGCAGCTAGTGCCAAGAAACCTCCCACTCCAAAAAATCAAAAAGGTAAAAAGAAAAGAAGAAGCAAATCAATAGCAATCACTTTTAGCGTCCCTTAGGCACACTGCCACAGTCTGATCCGGTCCTGGATCAAACTTGGTCAGCTTTTAGTCCCCAGAGCTCCTAGTCTGATTATATTTTTATTTATTCTTTCACTTCCATCCTCTACTGAGGACTTTTTCGAAACCTCTGACTCATTGCTTCTCTGATTGCTCAAGATGGGAGTGGCCATAGCAGCCCCGGCACTAAATCTCCCTCCAGCCAACTCTCTGCGAAGGCTGCGGCGGAGGCCAACAAAGTGAAGAAAGTGGCGGTGGTGCGTTCTACGCCCAAATCCCCGGGCTCGCTGAAGAGCCGCCCCCCCGTCCCTCTGGCTGCAGCAGCTCCAATGCCCGACCTGAAGAATGTCAGGTCCAAGGTCGGCTCCACAGACAACCTGAAGCACCAGCCTGGGGGGGGGAAGGTAACTGAACTTACATTGATGTTACACTGAGTGCACATCATAGTGCATGCAGATTTAAGACTCCGCTGTGATCTCCAGATCAGTGGTTTAGATAACGCTTTGGAGCTAGAACTGTTTGGAAGGTTCAAACCTCATGAGGACATCCAGGGAGATGTGCACTGACTCGTTCCTGAAGTTTCTTGATAAAAGCAAGAAAATACCTTTTTTTTTTTTTACAAAAAAGGCGTAAAATCTGGCTCCACCCACTAAGATTTGAGTCAGCCAATCAGCATTCTTCTGCTTCCAGAGTCTCTGATAAATATATTTGGAATTAAAACTCCAATCTGCCCTTTGATGTCCTGTCTGATCAACACAATGTACTTGTCTATGTGTGTGTATGTGTTGAATGTGTGTGTGTGGTCCGTTTTAGCACTGCATTGTTCTATTTCAGTGTAGGTAGGCTATGGTCACATGTCTAATATTCTATCTATCTATCAATGTAACCCATCTGCAAAAATTGAAAGGATTCTGTGATGTATATTTAGGAACCAAAAGGAAATAGTTAAAAAGGCTTATCTCACTGACATTTAAATGGTAGATCAAATAAACAGAAGAGAGGATGTCACTTATTGTTTAGTGAAGGAATGAGAGGAGGATTTTCCGAAGCCTCTCTCTGAAGTAGTATCACCTGAAGCTGCATGTTACACAAAGCAACACGACGGTTAACAGCATGGTCAACACCTCTCTCAGTCCTACTCTCACAGCACATGTTTCAAACCCACAAATCTAAAAGCTGACATTTTCATTCTTCCAGGTACAAATCCTTGAACAGAAGTTGGATTTTAGTAGTGTCCAGTCTAAGTGTGGCTCCAAAGGCAATATGAAACATGTACCCGGTGGCGGCAATGTGAGTAACTGAGGGATGAACTCAACACCTGACTCTTGAGTATCTCTGCAGTTATGATCATCAAAAAACAGCTTTTGGTAAAAGAAGGAAGTGCTCTCTCTTTTCTTTGTGCTCTCCATTTTGTAATAGAAGATGGACTTCTCAATGGACTCACAATCTGCTCAATTAGACACTGAAATATGTTTTTTAACTATTAGTTCACTAAAAGATCAAGGTGCATTTAGCCAAAAGTCCACTGCTTTAATGTGTTAAAGTTGGCATCTGTAACAATATGGTCATTTTGTAGACTCACGTATTACTGTTTATCTATCCCTATTTAATAACATGCACTTAGTATATGAGAATCCCCCCAGTAGTATCTGCAGTAAATGTGATATGTGACACACTAAGTTATGGATGGCAGCTTTAATGAAATGATTAAAAACCTGCTTTAATCTCCATCTCTTCAACATCTTAGTTCTTCCATGTTGGGCTGACCCCCTCCTGCAGTTATTCTCAATGGAATTAAGGACTTGTATTTCTTCTTCTCACACCTTCGCAGGTCCAAATCCTTGACAAGAAGCTGGAGTTACCTAATGTTTCATCTCGTTGTGGATCTAAGGACAACATAAAGCACACCCCTGGAGGAGGCAAGGTGAGTGGGTTTCACTTGGAAAGCATTTCCTTATTTCTTTCTGAGCTGAAATAGATAATACCCCACATTGAGGAAACGTTCACAATTAAAAAAATACAACAAGTCAGTCTCTTTGAAAAACATAGCGTAGTTTTGGTACAGCACATATGCTTTACAGATACATTATGTTTCTGTGTTCTGACCCTTTGATGAAGTAAAAGAAAATGTTGATATTACAACTTTAATTAAATGGGACTTTGTAGTTTTTATTGTAATCATTTGCCCTACTTCTATTTGGGGATATATTGTTTCAATCATTTGGGGTTTTGTGTGATGTGGTATGACTTGTTATAACACTCATTCAAGTTCTGCAGTCATAAGTAGTGTCTATTTCTCTACTGTTTTCAAGCTGATTGATGGACGTTTACTCAATCAAGTACTAAGGGTTCTCCTAATAGAGTGTTTATTCAAATGTGAAACATTTAATCTTTTACCCGTGCACATGCCAAAAAAACATGCATGGACATGTTTGCCCATGAAGACACCCAATGAAGAAGGATCAGTACAGTGTGGATTCTTTTTGTTTTGCCCCTTTAAAGGCCAACCTGCATCTCTCATTTCTCCCCTCTCCACTCTGGCTCTCAGTCTGGATTAGCATTGAAAGCACTACAATACTATAGGAAGAAAAAGAAAGGGCTCTCTATTTTTCAAATACATGAGAAAGAAGATGGACTTTCAGCTCTCCCCCTGTTCTCTCCTCCAGGATAACCGTCTTTCATATCAACTTTCCAGGTTCAAATTGTTGAAAAGAAGCTGGATTTAAGCAGTGTGCAGTCCCGGTGCGGCTCCAAAGATAATATGAAACATGTAGCGGGTGGAGGCAATGTGAGTAGATCGGAGGGGTGGCCCCTGGCAGACTGCAGGGGCCCAAAACCCTTGCTGTAACTCAGACTGCATCTTCACTGAGGAGGGTCTCAGCGTGCACAGAGCCTCCTGTGTTTCCCCTCTGACCTCCATGTGATCCAACACTGCTAACCAGAGGTGTGGATTCGAGTCACATGACTTGGACTCGAGTCAGACTCGAGTCACCAATTTGATGACTTGAGACTCGACTTGACAACATCACAAAACACTTGCGACTCGACTTGGACTTGAACACCAATGACTCTGGACTTGAATAGGACTTGAGCCTTCTGACTTGAGGTGACTTGATAATTTAATTCAGAGGTCTCCAACACGCCGATCGCGAGATGCCGCTAGAAGAGCAGACTGCCGGTCGGGTAGAGGCAGAATCATCAGCTGGCTCCTCTCATTGCTGAGGAATCCTGGCAGGGCAGGGCGGTCTTTATTTAAGCTACCATCGGCACATCATATACACACGACACACTAGGATCATACCATTATCGTGACAAGAAGGGTGGGGGGCACAGGCATGTGTAGTGGTACAGGCAGCTGCACAGAGCAAGCGGCGAGACGGATTGAAATGCAAGCACGTTCGGAAAAAGTCAAGAAATTTAGCGAAACCAACCGAAAAAGAATCAGCATCTGGGCTGCATTTCAGTTGATATTGTAGAAAAGCAAAGCTGAGTGGCAGGATTTGAAAAATGAAAATAAACCGTTCAGATGCAGGTTTTTTTTTGGTAACCACTCAGGATTTATTGTCAGAGTGAGAAATTCAGATCTTGTACTTGAGTAAAAGTTAGCGCAGAGTGTAGGAATACTCGGTTTACAATAAAAAGTCGCTGCATTCAAATGTTACAAGTAAAAGTACAAAAAGTATTAGCATCAAATTATACTTTAATGTACGCACCTGCAGAGGGTAGATTGCAGTGTTCTTTTCGCCCCATAGAGAACCGCCTCGCTGCACATTATCCCTTTGCCATAAAGATAGATTGTGGTGCCCCTTATAACATGTTGTTGAAGTACACAGTGAGAATAAAACATTCTGGTTACCTCCACATCCAGGATCTTAACATTAAAACTCCTTCTGAATCAAACACGTCACGGTAGCCCTTACTTACTGATCGCCCTCTTAAATTAGAAAATAACACGTTACTTTACCAGCAGAGAAAATAGATTATCTGAATTATTAATGTGACTAATACAAGAGCAGTTGATTATTATAAGTATTATTCTGTTGATCAATGTCATTACATTTGGTGGTAAATGCAGCATATATGACTGTTTATGACTCGTTTTGTTCCAAAGTTCAGTTTAGGACTTGGACTTGACTTGAACTTGCCCCATCCTGACTGTGAGACTCTGACTTGGACTTGAGCGGCAACGCCTTCGATTTCGACTCCGGACTTCGTAAAACAGATGACTTCCCACCTCTGTGCTCAACCCCTATTTCAATAGTTCATCATAAGTACACAGCCATCGAGCAGTGGTGACTACAGGAGACATCGAACAACCTGGTAAAAAAACCTGGTACGTGTCCCTACCAGCAGTGCTATAGTACACAATCCAATTTTTTATATGTACTTTTACTTCCTCCTACATTATATTTATTTTAATAGCTTATATTTACAAAATATATGAAGAATAAGCTTATAGATTAAATCAACCAACAGTTCATTACAATTAGAGGTTGCAAATATTCTGTCTGTGGGCAGACTATTTGTAATGCCTTGTGCGGGTTGGCAGTGCGAGAGTATTATTACTTAAGTTGTATTTGACCAAAGTAAATTGAGGACAGGTAACAACTTATCAGCCGGAGCTACTTTGATCCTGAGGAGCGTGCTTAAGAAGAGAGAGTCGTCAGCAAGCGGCGAGCGTGAAGAGGAGTTAGAGAGAGAGAGAGAGAGATGCAATTTGGACATGAAGAGTATAGAGAGTGAGCTGCGCTAGAGGAAGCGAAGATCAGTTGTGTAGGTTAGGGTGAAAAGTTGTGGCCCGATTTCGGGGAGAGTTAAATGACACGGCGGCGGAGGCGAGGGCGGAGTGGGAAGTGGCCTGGCGCGCGAAGAGCGCGCCAAGATGCTGGTGGGATGGTAGTAGTGGCGATGCTGTTGGAGTTAGCGATGAGAGAAGCGACAGTTTTACCCTTAACCCGGAGCCGCGAAGAGCTGGGATCCTTGTTAGGCTTGTAGAGTATAGTGAGTTATAGGTCGCGATGTCCGAGAGATTGGTGCAAGTGTTTGGTTTGCTGAGAAACTTGCGGAGTAGAGGCGAGGAACGTGCGCTGAGAATCGTGCGAGAGTAAGAGCGCGTGCGAGATCGAAGAGGTGAGTCCGGGGGGGATGAGTTGTTACTGTGCCTTGCCAAGTGTGAGTGCGAGAGATTGACAACTGTAAGTAAGTAATAATGTCGAGGCTGAGAAGCCACGAAAAGGCCGATTACAAATGTCTGCCAACAGACAGGAATATTTGCAAGATGCTAATTGTATAACTGGTTGGGTGATTTAGAGTCTATAAGCTAGTTCCGTTCAGGGTATATTTCGTAGAATATAGCTATGTAAAATAGACGGGTAGTAGATTGTAGAAGGAGTAAAAAGTACAATATAAAAAGTGGATTGGTACTATAGCACTGCACTGGTTAGGACACGTACCAGGGTTTTTTGACCAGGTGTTCAGGTGTCTCCCTGTAGTCGACAGCGGTCATGGCATGTGCTACGTTGATGATACAGGACGTAGGTGAATGAGGGGTTATGCAGCCAGAGGTGGGAGCAGAGTTCAGTGTGTGTACGAGAGTCCGAGTCAGAGTCTCAATCGTTTGGCGCTCAGAGTCGCGAGTCAAGTCTGCGAAGTCGGAGGGATGGCAAGTTCAAGGTCAAGGCCAAGTCGGGTAAAACTGTGACAGAAACGATCCATAAAGCAAGTAGCATTATGGTGCTGTTACACACAGATGGTGAGATGGACGATATCACAGAATGAATACTTAAGTAATCGAAACGTCTTTGATTAGGGTCACGAGAATAATTCGGAGATAATCTTATTTTCTGCTGCTGTAAAGTAACGTGTTATTTTCTGAATGTTGAGAGGGATCAGGTGAAGGGTAAGGGCGCGTACCTGACGAGTTTGAGTTCAGGAAGAGTTTAATGTATAAGATCCCTGAGGGTGAGGGTAACGAGAAGTGTTTTTTCCAGCGTGGGTACAAGCGAGGGTATAAGGACCCACGCGAATCGTATCTTAGGTAGTTGCGAAGGCGGATGAATGTGGCAGCGAGCGGTCGTGGTAGTGGGAAAAGAGACAGCCTGAATCTACCCTCTGCAGGTGGACATTAAGTAGTATTTTGATCTCATATACTTGTTGTACTTGTACTTGTAACATTTTGAGATGCAGGACGGTTATTGTAACCGAGGGTATTCGTGACACTCGGAGTACTTTTACTGCAGGGGTACAAGGATCTGAATTCTTCCCAGCCCTCGACAATAAGATCCGAGTGGTTTAGCCAAAAGAAGAAACCGCTGCTCTGGAAGGTTAGTTATGTCATTTTACAAATCCCTGCAGCGTCAGGCTGGTTGCTTCTTTACGAAGTATTCAGCTGAGAAGTGCAGCCAGCATGTGGATTCTTTTTCGGTTTTCGCTAATTCTTGGACTTTTTCCGGACGTGCTTGCATTTCAATCGCTCGTCTCCCGTTGCTCGTGTGCAGCTGGCCTGTACCGACGTACCATGCGCCCCCCACCCTTCTTTCAGCGAGTTAAGTGGCTATGATCCTGTAGTTGGTCTGTGTATATTGATTGGCCGGGATGTGCGGTAAATAAAGACCCGCCCCTGCTGCAAGGGATTCTCAGCAAGAGTAGAGCAGCTGAAGATTCTGTCTCCGGCCGACCGGAAGTCGCTCTTCTAGCGTCATCTCGCATCGGGCGTGTTGCAACCCCGCTGAATTAAATTATCGAATCACCTCAAGTCAGAAGGCTCAAGTCCAGGTGCAGACGTCGCCGGAGTCGATTTGGTGTTCAAGTCCAAGTCGACTCCGCAGAGTGGTTTTGTGGATGTTGTCCAAGCTCCGAGTCTGCAAGTCTCAAATTGGTGATCGAGTTGACTCGAGGTCCATAGTCATGTGACTCGAATCCAGCACCTCTGTGTAGCAGTGTTGGATCGAACAATGGAGTGTCAGAGGGAAACACAGGAGGCTTCTGCTGCACGCTGAAGGACCCTCCTGCCAGTAAGATTTTTTGGCAGTCTGAGTTACAGCAAGGTTTGGCCCGCC